AAGACGCTTACTCCTTGGAAGGAAAGGTATGACCAACCTAGACAGCATATTAAAAAGAAGAGACATTACTTTGCCAACAAAAGTCTGTCTAGTCAAGGCTATGGTTTTTCCAGTGGTCATGTATGGATGTGAGAGTTGGACTATAAAGAAAGCTGAGCTCCGAAGAAGTGATGCTTTTGCACTGTGGTGTTGGAGGTGGTGTTGGAGGAGACTCTTGAGAGTCCCTTGGACTGCAAGGAGATCCAACCTTGCAGATCCAACCTGATCCTAAAGGAGATCAGTCCTGAGTGTTCACTGGAAGGACTGATGCTGAAGCTGAAACTCCAATACTTTGGCCACCTGATGTGAAGAGCTGACTCATTTGAAATACCTTGATGCTGGGAAAGATTGAGGGCAGGAGGAGAAGGAGACAACAGAGGATGAGATGGCTGGATGGCATCACCGACCCGATGGACATGGGTTTGGGTGGACTCTGGGAGTTGGTGATGGACAGGGAGGCCTGGCATGCTGCGGTTCTTGGGGTTGCAAAGAATCGGACACGACTGAGCAACTGAACTGAACTGAACTGAACAAATATTCTCCAGACTTCACTGCGGTCATTATAAGTCCAGGGCTACCTGTTTTTTTGCTGCTTCTGGTATATTGGGGAAAAAAACAAAGAAATTTTGGCTATCCACTCCATTGGCTTCGTTTTTCTCAGTGGGGAATTTCTTCTTTGCAATCGCTTTCCTTTGTTAGTGCAACAGGCTTGGGCTGCAGAAGAGGAATGTAGGCCTTTTCCACAGCACACAAAACAAACACCCACTCAGGCTGCAATCTGCGCCTCACTCTCCTCTCCTTGATCCCAGGACTGCCTTCTGTCAGAGGGTGTGTCACGTGTACCAAGATAGAGGCTGACAATCCACCAGCCTTTGTTGCAGTACCCAAATGTGCTCTATTTGAGAACCGCTGATGATTTAGCACCGGGAGAGCTCAGGAACTCTGGCCACCTAATAGTGAAAGAGGGTGAGGCTAGCAGTCGGGAGTCCTGCACCTGCCTTAGTGTCTGCATAACCCAGGGCACCTTTAAGGAGATACAAAATGGTAATTTTCTCATTCTCTTTCCTTCTACATTAAAACAGCTTTTTTATTGGAGTATAGTTGATTTACAATATTGTGTTAGTCTCTGCGGTCCAGCAAAGTGAGTCAGGTATGCACATACATATATTCACTCTTTATTATTATTATTATTATTATTATTTTGCTTCCCTTGTGGCTCAGCTGGTAAAGAATCCTCCAGAAATGAGGGAGACATGGGTTCGATCCCTGGGTTGGGAAGATCCCCTGGCAAAGGGAAAGTCTTCCCACTCCAAGATTCTGGCCTGGAGAATTCCATGGTCTGTATAGCCCATGGGGTCGCAAAGAGTCAGACACAACTGAGTGACTTTCACTTACTTTTTTTAGATTCTTTTTCCATATATATAGGTCAGTACAGAGCATTGAATAGAGTTCCTTGTGCTATACAACATATCTTTATTAATTATCTATTTTATATATAGTAGCATACATATGTCAATCCCAATATCCCGGTTTATCCCTCTCCCCTTCCCAACCATAAATTTGTTTTCTACATCTGTGACTCTTTCTGTTTTGTAAATAAATTCATTTGTATCACTTTTTTTAGATTCCACATATAAGTGATATCATGCAATATTTGTTTATTGCTGCACTTTTTTTTTTTTTTGCCACGCAGCGTGGCTTGCAGGACTTCATGCCGTCCCTGACCAGGGTTTGAACCTAGGACAAGGGCAGTGAAAGAGCCAAATTGGAACTAGACCTCTAGGGAAGGAACTGAGAGATTTACTTTTAATCAGCCTGTGTTGATTTTATCATGTTCATGCATATTTAAAAGTCAGGAGTCTTCCCTGGTGGTACAGTGGATAAGGATCCCCCTCTACCAATGCAGGGGACAGGGGTTCAATCCCTATTCCAGGAAGATTTCACATACCACGGAATAGCTAAGCCCCTACACCACAACTACTGAACGTGGGCACTAGAGCCCGCTGTGGTACAACTACTGAAGTTGGTGGGCCTAGAGCCTGTGCTCCCTAACAAGAGAAGCAACCATAATGAGAAACCCGCACACAGCCAAGAAGAGTACTCTGGCTCACCCCAATTAGAGAAATTGGTGCGCAGCAACAAAGACCAAGTGTAACCAAAAAATAAATAAAAATCAGTACATCAACAGAATGGGTAAATTTCAAAAATGTTGAATGAGAAAAGTCAGACACCAGAGAATATATTCTGTATGGTCCTGTTTGCATAGGTCAAGATAGGCAAAACCAATCTGTGAGGGAGACTGGATGTTGAGTCTGCCTCATCAGAGAGAACAGAGCACCATTCTGGATGGGGCTGGACTGGAGGTATATTGGTGGTACTCAGTGTGGTCCACAGACTGGTGCCACTTCATGAAATGTTACTTTCAGGTTCAGGATGAGTAGAGAATTTGAGAGTTGAGTATTTAAAAAGCTCTACAGCATTTGGCAGAGTACTTTTATAAATGCTGTGCTATCGCTTCTCGGCCTTTTGGCTAAGATCAAGTGTAGTATAAATGCTGTGCTTAGTCGCTCAGTCATATCCAACTCTTTGTGACCCCATGGACTGTAGCTTGTAGGGCTCTTCTGTCCATGGGGGATTCTCCAGGCAAGAATACTGAAGTGGGTTACCATTATAAATACTAGTTATAACCAAAAAATATGTAGTCTTATAATTTTTATATTTTTTATACTTTATTTTTCAAGGAATTCATTTTTAGTGTATGTTGTAAAAGTATCAACTTGTGATAGATTGAAAATACTTAAAACTGGTTCTTCCCTACCGATCATTTGAGAAGCACTGGGGTAAATAACAGAGATTCTGTTCACTAACTTGAACAGGCAGCTGATGGTTGCCTAGCTGCTAGGACAGATAGGTTTTGTTTTGCTTTGTTTTTTATGAATAATGCAAATCTCGATTTTATGCTGGCCCATCAACTATTTCTGAAAGGCCAAATGTCTTCTGATATAATGTGCAAGTGGGAATATAAAGACTCCAGTGGACAGAGAAACTGTATGGGGATCCACCAGGCATATCCCACCCATGCACAAAGTCCCTGACAGGTTCTAGAAAAGTCTCCTTTCACTAGATTATGAGGGATAAAGTATACTGCAAGTGATAGGATTTTTCTAAAGCTCTTCATTAGCTAGTCACTCTATGCCACATATGTTGTTAAAGGCACTGAAATTGAAATGGGATCCCTGATTCTGGGAAGTGGTGTTGGGCTGACCCTGAATGAAAACAGCATCACATTTCCAGAAGCAAATGCTCTTTTCACTGGTGGCCATATTCATCAAATCTCTAGAGATACATTATGCACAGATTTACAACTTTAAAGAAATCATGGGCTCCCAACAATAAAATTGTAAGCAACTGTGGCACCCTCCAGTTTCTACCAGTGTGGTCCCTAGCCACTTTAACTGTAGGGGCTGGGAGACAAAGTTACTTTATCAGCCGCCTTTGCAGTTGTCATGTGATAGGGAAGCCGGACACAGTTTTAGCTCAGGAGAAATCTACTGAGAACTTTCTTTTTTGGCCCCAAGTGTGGCTTCTGGGGAACTTAGTTCCCCCACCAGGGTTTAACCCTGGCCCTCCACAGTGAGAGCATCAAGTCCTAACCACTGGACCACCAAGGAATTCCTATACTGGGGACTTTTAGAAAGGCTTCTGCTTTTTCTGTTAAAAGAAAGAGACAGTTGGCATTCATCTTGAAGTCGGAAGGGGAATGTTAAGAGAATCACAGAAGAGGTCAATCTAGACCTCTAACATTGTCCAGTTCCTGAGCCAGTTACCTACTTTCTGATTTATTGTGGAAGAGAAAATAGATGTCTGTTGTATGTGCCATTGTTAGCTGAGTTTCCTGTTACTTGCAGCCAAAAGCGTTGTGAACTGATCTAGAAACGCATTTGGACTTATTTAATTTACATCGGGTTGAATCATATGAAACTGGTGTTTTCTGTAGGTCAGAATGATTGTCAGTTTTGCATTATTCAACCCAAATAACTACTAACACTCTAGATCTGTAGATGCGTATCTTTAGTAAGCTTATGACAGCAAATACCAAAACTCGTAACTTAGTGCATTAGGGAAGGAGACGGATTGGCTCATGGAAGAAAACTTAGTTGCTTTTGTTAGCCTGCCAGGCTCCTCTGTTCATGGGATTTCCCAGGAAAGTATACTGGAGCCGGTTGCCATTTCCTGCTCCAGGGGATCCCACCGACAGGGAGTCGAACTCGCGTCTCCTGCTTTGGCAGGCGGATTCTCCAACGCTGAGCTACAAGAGAAGTCCAGTTCATACATATACACAAGAATAAATTCCAGATTATATTGATGACTTAAATTTTAAAAACAAAACACCAATAAGACTACTTGAGGCTTGAGGAAAACTCTAAGCTAAAACCCTGGTTGCCCCTGGCTCTCATTCTGCTTTTTCCATTGGGCCCCTGGAGCTACGTCATGGAACACTTAGCCAATGAGAATTGGGCATGGGCAGCAGTCTCAACCAATGGGACCCGGGCGGGAGATTTGAAAGGACCTCGGCGGGGCTTGAGGGGGCGCGGCCGGACAGATTCAGTTGTTGCCAGCGGCCAAGGTACCACGGGTTTCTTTCGGGATTCTTGCTCCGGGAGAGGCCAGGTGATCCGGCAGGTTGGTTGCTCTAGGGTGGAGAAAGGGGTCCTGGAAGGAGTGAGGCCGGTAGCAGGGTGGAGGCGGAGAGGCGAGTGCGGGGATGCGCTCTGATGAAGCCAGCTTTTGGACTTGCGCCCTTTCACCAACTCCTCCCCTCCCCCACCACCCCGCTTCGGCAAACACTTCCGGCTAGATCGATCAGACCCCTCACTTCTCTCTCCTTTTTTTTTTTCTTTTTTTGCTTCTCACGGCTGTTTCTCTTCTCTGCCCAGTTCCCTCCCCCTTTCCCTCTACGGATGGCCCAGAAGGAGAACGCCTACCCCTGGCCCTATGGCCGGCAGACGGTAAGGGCTTTCTCACTTCCCCTCTCCCAGAGGCGACCAGCATGGCGACTTCCTGCTTGCAGATTCGAGATCCTACAGAGGGCGATCCTCTTAGCACTTTTCTCCTAGCTTTGCACCAGCGCATGGGCCCCAGTCAGGTCATTTGTAGCCACATCCTATCCGGTGCTACCAGTTTGAATTTGACCAGCCTGTGAGGACCTCTGCAGCGCTGAGCCTACTTGTCACATACAAATGGCGTCTGGGACTGAGCAGGCAGGGTCTGGCCTGTTAGGCCATGAATCTCAACTGTTGTCCTGAAAAAATAGGCTAGGCAGGAAATAGATATAGGGTATTTATTTATTTATTTTTTGATATAGGGTATTTAGATGAGTTTATAAGTTTAAAAGGTCCAAGAGAAGTCTTACTTAAGAATTTGGATTTTAATAACTGGTGTGACGTATGCATCAAAAGGTTTTATTTTCCAGTGAATCTACCCTCTGATTTGAAATGCTAGCATTATTGTATACATTAAATTCCCACTTATATGTGGATCTATTTCTGGACTCCATTTTGTTCAACTTGCTTATTTGTAAATCCTAAATTCGCTGTTTGTGAACAAGTCTGTAGGAGCACTGAGGCTCTTTCTCTCTTGGTTAAAGAAGAAAGAAGGGGCCCAACATGAGCTTTGTTCTCTATTGGTGGGGCTTGAGTATCCTGGAGGGTCTCTCTATCCCCTTGTCCATCAGCTCCCTCCCTGGTGAAGCTCTGAATGGGGAGGCTGAATGAGATGACACTGTCATGTCTACACCAGTCACTCCCAAAAGGAAGTGGTGTGTATTACTCACAAGTTGAAAGTGACACGTGCTCCAGGACCATTAGAATAGCCTTCAGTGTCCCTAAAGCCTGTTGTTGCAAAGGGGTAAATACTGAGATTTGCTGAACACTCAAGGCCCCAAGGATTTTATCTGAGCCTTAACAGACTGAGCTTAGGGGACTGTGAGAATACCTCTGTTCTGAAGCTCCTTGAATGGTAGGTGTTCATTACCCCAGCCTCTACTGCCCCCTGGGGTAGGGGGCTGGGTAAATGAGTGGTGTTATGGACAAGACTGAGTAGCAAAATTATGGTTTCACTGTTCCTCTTTGAACTGGTGATGGGGTGGGGTAGGTGGGTGGCTTTATAGCAAGCCCTGAAATGCTGCTTGTAGCGCATTCCAACCCGGTCACCGGGATAAAGGCACCCTCAGAGCTCCCCTCTGGTCCTCAGGCTCAGCCTGGCCTGAACACCCTGCCCCAGAGAGTCCTCCGGAAGGAGCCTGTCACCCCTTCGGCGCTTGTCCTCATGAGTCGCTCCAATGCCCAGCCCACAGGTAAACTAGCACAAAGGGAGGGGATTGACCTGAGGGAACTAGGGTCTGCAGAGGGTGGGGGCGGGGGGGATGAAAATATCAAAGGATGGCCTCAAATTCCCTGTTCTTTCCTTAGCTGCCCCTGGTCAGAAGGTGGTGGAGAACAGCAGTGGGACCCCCAACATCCCGAAGTAAGCTCCCCAAGCTTTGGGGTGGCAACAGAGGGGGTGGGACAAAGGCAGGAGGAGGAGAGGGATGCAGACGAGAAAGCCTGATCCATTCTCAGTTCCCCTGGAAGAGAAGCAGGACTGCAGGCAGGAGGGTGGAGGTACAGGGAGAAGGCAAACACCTCAGAGGACCGACTAACCACTGCTCAGCTGCTCCACCACTGCTTCCCAAACAGGCGTTCCTTCACAATCGATGACTTTGAGATTGGGCGTCCTCTGGGCAAAGGCAAGTTTGGAAATGTGTACTTGGCTCGGGAGAAGAAAAGCCATTTCATCGTGGCGCTCAAAGTCCTCTTCAAGTCTCAGATTGAGAAGGAGGGTGTGGAGCACCAGCTGCGTAGAGAGATCGAAATCCAAGCCCATCTGCAGTATGCTCAACGTCCCCTGAGCCAGAGCCCCCTGCCGCCCCAACCCCACTCTTCCTCCAACCCCACCACATCTGGACTGTTCTCTGCAGCTGTGGCCACGCAGCCCCAATGAGCTCTCAATCCCAGCCAGATCCTTGAATCCAGAAAATCACCTCCAGTCCCCACTTAGGACTGCCACCTGGCTTCCCCTACCTGGCCCAGACCTGACCCAGTTTGCCCCAATGCGACCTGTCATCTTTCCCATTTCCTTAGGCCAGAATGCAGCCTGATGCCTCCTCTGTCTCCTCTCCCAGACATCCCAACATCTTGCGTCTCTACAACTATTTCTATGACCGGCGAAGGATCTACTTGATTCTGGAGTATGCCCCCCGTGGGGAGCTCTACAAGGAGCTGCAGAAGAGCCGAACTTTTGACGAGCAGCGAACAGCCACGGTCGGGGCCGGTGGGCACCTGGGGCACTGGCAGGGGCCTAGAGGCTGGGGGGACGCTGTTTGCAGCCCGAGGTCAGTCCTTGTCTGACTGTCTGTCATTGGCCCCCAGATCATGGAGGAGCTGGCAGATGCTCTGACATACTGCCATGCGAAGAAGGTGATTCACAGAGACATCAAGCCAGAAAACCTGCTCTTGGGGCTCCGGGGAGAGCTGAAGATTGCTGACTTTGGCTGGTCGGTGCATGCCCCCTCCCTGAGGTATGGTGGGCCAGGAGGCCAACCCTGGGTATGAAGCCACTCAAAATAAAACCCCTCCAGATCTTGTTACCCAGAGACATTTTGGGTTGTTCTCATGTAAATATATAGACACAGCAATATCTTCACAAAAATAGGAGACTCTGGGAGTTCCCTGCTGGTCCAGTGGTTAGGACTCCAGCTTTCACTGCAGGGGGCCCAGGTTCAATGCAACCTTAGTTCCCTGGTCAAGGGGACTAAGACCCTGCAAACCATGCAGTGTGGCCAAAAACAAAAACAGGAGGCTCAGTTTTGTCACCCAGAATTCTCACTTGAAACATTGGGACTTTCTTGCCACATCACTGAGAATACTCCCACATCATTTTTAATGGCTTCATAGTATTGCACAGTAGAGATGTAACGTGATTAAGCAACATGTGGTTGATGGACATCTGAAATTTTTCCTTTAATTCTAAGGTGAACGTTGCCCTCATATCTGATTTAAGGTACGGCCCTCAGTGTGGAAATGCAGAGGCAGTGTGTTAGCCCCACTCCTACCCCAAAGACCCCATCAGAGCATGGTTGGAAGACCCCTGGCACATCCTGGGGTCTGGGCTTCCTGTCAGGCTGCAGGGAAAGGAAGGAAAGTCTGGATCTGAGATCCCTGCCCATTCACACCCCCACCTCCACCCCCCCAGGAGGAAGACAATGTGCGGCACTCTGGACTACCTGCCCCCAGAGATGATTGAGGGGCGCACGCACAATGAGAAGGTGGACCTGTGGTGCATCGGTGTGCTCTGCTATGAGCTGCTGGTGGGAAACCCACCCTTTGAGAGTGCTTCCCACAATGAGACGTACCGGCGCATTGTCAAGGTGGGAGGCTGGCCCCCGGGGGTCTAGCTGGAGTTTGTGCCAGCTCAGGGGCTGGGGCGGGGAGGGGGCACACTGTTGCTATTGATGTTAAACCCTGCTAATAGAGTGGGAAGTGGAGGCAAAAGCAGCCAGGATGAAGCCCTTCTCTCCTTCTTGCAGGTGGACCTAAAGTTCCCTCCTTCTGTGCCCGTGGGAGCCCAGGACCTCATCTCCAAGCTGCTCAAGCATAACCCCTCAGAACGCCTGCCACTGGCCCAGGTCTCGGCCCACCCTTGGGTCCGGGCCCACTCTCGCAGGGTGCTGCCTCCCTCTGCCCCTCAGTCTGTCCCCTGAAATGTCCCTGTCATTTTTTCAGTTGTGTCTGTCTGTATATGTGTAGTTAGGAGGAGGGGGGTCCCCAGCCTGTTTCTGTCTTCCACCTCCTCTTTATTTAATAAAGGCTGAAGCTTTTTGTACTGATGAGTGTAGATGTTTACAGGTGGAGACTGCTGTGGAAGGAAGTCTTCACCTGTGGGGAGGAGGCGAGGGAGTTGCCCATGCCGGGCACTGCATCACCATCCCTGGCAGCACCCCTCAGCACTGAAAGCAACCTCTCAGCTCTAACCCCATCTGGTCAGCTTCCAACCATCCCACTTCCACATCTTTTCTTTCCCCTGCTCTGGCTCCCAGGCCTGGGGATGCTGGGGACCTCGGCTCCACCTTGCTGTGCCTGCACACCAGCCATCACCAGCCGTCTCCATCCACCTTCTCTTATTGCTCCCTCTTAGTTGACCTCTAATCTTTCCCTTTCCTGGGTCAGTCTTGCTCACCCAGGAGCAATTAAAGTTGTCTTTTTTGTTTGTTTTTCTGCTCTGGTGAGGATTTAGCACAGGAGTAGATAGAAGCTGATGGTGTCTTGTTCCTGACCTAAGGTTTCACTGCTATGTATGATGCCTGCAATCTGGTGCTTCCTGTAGGTTTTGTTTTGTTTTGGCCACCCGAGCAGCATGCAGGATCTTACGTTTCTCTGACCAGGGGACAAACCCATTCCCCTCGCAGTGGAAGCGTGGAGTCCTAGCCACTGGACTGTCGGGGAAATCTCTTGCTGTAGGTTTTTGATACATGTCTTTTATCAGGTTAAGGAAGACCTGGGCTCTTCCTAGTTCATTAAGGGTTTGGTGTTTTTTGAAGCATGAACAGGTGTTAAGTTTCACCTAATGCTTTTTCTGCATGTGTTTATTATTTGTACTTTTAAGCCATGTGGTGAAAAACATCAATAAAGTTTCTTATTTTTATTTCATCTCAGATATTCATGCTATATTCAATTCCTAGGGCTACTGTAACAAATTACCACAAAGCTGGGTGGTTTTAAACAGCAGAAATGGATTCTCTGGGAGGGGGGATCAGGATGGGGAATACATGTAAAACCATGGCTGATTCATGTCAATGTATGACAAAACCCACTACAATATTGTAAAGTAATTAGCCTCCAACTAATAAAAATAAATGAGAAAAAAAAAAAGAAATGGATTCTCTGACAGTTCTGGAGGCCAGAAGTCCATGATCAAGGTGTCAGTAGCACCACCCTCCCATATACACCTCTAGGGAAAAATCCTGCCTTGCTTTTTCCATCTTCATGTGACTCCAGGCACTTCATGGCTTGTGGCTACATCACTCCAAGCTCTGCTTCTGTCCACACAGCCTTCCTGTCTTCACTTTCCTCTGTGTCTTAAAAGAACACTAGCAATTTGATTTATGGCTCACCTAGATAATCCAGGATAATGTTATCTCACAATCCTTAATTATATCTGCAAAGACCCTTTCCCCAAAAAACACTGCATTCATTGCTTCCAGAGGTTAAGACACTGACATATATTTTAGGGGGCTACCAGTCAACCCCACTACATAAGCCCACAGATTAAAATATCTGAAGGACAGTATAGGGCTTAAAAAAAAAACCAGCAGTCTTCCCATTTCTCTCTCCCTAGAGACATTCCTTTTGGATTTGTTCCAAATCCTTTTACAGTTTTGCTTTGTTTTTGGTATTTACTTTGTTATCTCCAAATCACATGCTTCTGTCACTACTTAACATTTTCAGTTTTAGGCTTTAATCTATCATTTTCCTGATACAAAATGTAAGGACTTCTTTCTTTAACTCCACTGCCACCAGACACAAGGGCATTTTCTGTCCCTACATCCTAATGATATAGTTATATAATTTTGGTTAAGATTTATTCATTTGACAATAGTTACTGAGTGCTCTCTGCAGCCCAGGTGCTGTTCTAGAGGCTGAGGGGTGAATAAACGAGAAAAAGAATCTTCAGCTCAGGAAGCCTGCAAAAAGTGGTTGCAATTGTAAACAGATTGTAAGGGGAGGCCTCACTGAAAAGATACTATTTGAAAAAGGACGTGAAGGAGAAAAAAAGGTGAACATTTTTCTTTGTTCAGTCACTAAGTTGTATCTGACTCTGCAATTCCATGGACTGCAGCACACCAGGCTCCTCTGTCCTCCACTATCTCCCAGAGTTTGCTCAGATTCATGTCCATTGAGTCCCTGATGCTATCTGTCTTGTCCTCTGCTACCCTCTTTTTTTCACCTTCAGTCTTCCCCAGCATCAGAGTCTTACATCAGGTGGCCAAAGTATTGGAGCTTCAGCTTCAGCATCAGTCCTTCCAATGAATATTCAGGTCTGATTTCCTTTAGGATTGATTGGTTTGATCTCCTTGCAGCCCAAGGGACTCTCAAAGAGTCTTCCCCAGCACCACAATTCAAAAGCATCAGTTCTTTGGCACTCAGCCTTCTTTATGGTCCAACTCACATCCGTGCATTACTACTGGAAAAACCATAGCTTTGACTATACGGACCTTTGTGGGCCAAGTGATGTCCTCACTTTTTAATATACTTTCTTTGTGGACTCGGCCTCAAAAAAGGGGGTCGTGGGCCGAGGGGAGTTGCAAGAACAAATGTAAATCCTTGAGGCGGCAGCATGTCTGTCTTGTCACAGGAACAGTGAGAAGACCAGTGCTTCTATGGCAGGACCAGTGAGAAGAGAAGCAAGAGAAGAGATTCGAATGGTACCAGGGCTCTGACCTTAAGGGCCATTAACTTATTGAATGTTCCACCTAGTGGCAAAATCGCACACCATCCTCCAAGAGGAGACACTCAAGACCTGGTGGAGGGGACAGGAGACAAAACAGAGGAGCAAATGAGAATTCTGGTTTCATCCTGATCAACTAAGGTGCGATTAAATCCCGACGGTCCAAGCAGGATATACTACTTTCATCCCAAGAACCTCTTTTAGGAAACCCAATTCTGGTTCCCCACTAGAACCGGTTACTAAGCAACAATTGTGGGCGGAAAGAGCCTAGCCCCACCCCTGGAGGACTCAGGCGTTTCAGGATCTTCATCTTTAAGATCTGCCTTTTCAACTTTTCGAAAGGGCGGGGCAACGAGCGCAGCTGTTACCTCCTTCTCTCCGCCCTGCTGGCTCTCACGTGTGTTCGGTTGCTCAATGACAGCTCGTCTTCTGGGACTTCCTGGTTGTCGGGACCAATCAGAGTGCTCTTCACGTCCTGACCATTGTCAGCCCGAGGCCAATCGGCGTGCCTCTAAAACGCCCCTTAAAGGCGCCGCCAAGGCCTCCCGAGCCGGGGCGAACCAATTCCTCGGTTCCTGCCCCCAGCTGCAGTATGGAGTCGCCCCGGGGGCGGCCTGGGCCCGAGACAGACCTGCTAGCTCTGGGGGAACAGCAAGCTGCGATCTTCGGCGACGGCCCGAGCCAAACGCCCTCTGAGCGGCCCTCAGGCCTCCGACTGTCCGAGGAGGAAGAGGGAGAGAACGTTGGGAGCGCGAGCTGCCACCCCAAGGCGTCCCCGAAGACTTCGAGCTGCAGCTTTGTCCACCCTCCGGAATGGGAAGCTCCGGAGGACAAGCTGGGCCGTGGAGGGACGCTTTCTGGGGCAGGGAGCCGCCTGGGGGCGCCGGATCCCGAATACGACCCGCACTGGTCCTCCCGGCGCAAGGACCCTGAGCCGCCAGAAGACAAGCCTGAATCCGAGAGGGTCTGCCGTCGAGGGAGCCCTGTAGGCGGCGGGATGGGTGTTGAGCAGGAGAAGGAAGACGACGATGAGGCGGCAGCAGCTGGCAGGGGTAGCCGTTCGTTCTCCAGCCGCCTTCAGGACAGCCGCAGTTTGGACGGGTTGAGCGGGGCGTGCGGCGGCGCCGTGTCTTCAGGGGGTGCAGAATTTGGCGCCGGCGGCGGGCGGCGCGCCACTATCTCCAGCCCCCTGGAGCTTGAAGGCACGGTGAGCCGCCATGGCGACCTCACCCACTTTGTCGCCAACAACCTGCAACTCAAGATCCGTCTGAGCGGCGCCCCTCAACCCCCGCCCCCTGCCCCTACGCGGCCCTGTTCAGCGCCCACACCCACTCCGGCCATCCCTCCCATCGACCCCGACGTGCTGCGGGACCTGGAGCGGCTGAGTCGGGAGCTGGGCGGCAGGGTGGACCGTCTGCTTCGCGGTCTGGGAGGTGCGGTGCAGGAGCTGACAGCTCTGAGCGTGGGCTGCATCCAGACCTACCGCGATGCAGTGGACTCTCTAGGTGAAGCTGTGGACATGAGCATCAAGGGCATGTATACCCTGCTGGCGCGCTGTGAAGAACTGGAGCGGGCTCTGCAACCGGTTCAGGGACTGGCGCGACAAGTCCGGGATATCCGACGCACCTTGGAGGTGTTGGAGGCCCTGTGCAAGTGACTGGGAAGGCATGAGAGGCCTGGCAACGCCAGGGACCAGCAGGATCCTTAAGGACTCTTCAAGGAGCCCTGGTGGGACCTGCCTGCTGAGAGGAGGGAGGCCTATATATGGGAGGTTCTTCCAGATACGTTTAGCAGGCCTGCGACCATTCGCTGGGCCTTATGCAGGTGTACATGGGGAAGTTCTAAAGACTCTCCTGGTGGGAGGGTATGATGCTCTGCTTCTGTTCAGTTGGCCATCTGCAGCTACGTTGTTCTCCCAACTCTCTTTCCCAGTTAGAGCACCATCTCTGGAAATCCGGGGCTTTAGGTCTGGGCTTGGGAGATGTGACTGTCATAAATTATCAAGAAAGGAGAACAGAGGAGGCCCCAGCCCCCACTCTGGCCACTCTGACCTCCAGTGGTCACATCTCAGGTGCCAGGGGCTGTGGGAGCTTGTGTGGTCAAAGACCACACACCATGCAGACAACGACGCATATTTGCAGATGGATAACCTCCTGCTTCTGCCCTTTGGCCCTCTACCATCCCATTTCCCCAGTCATAACCTGGGCGAAGCTAGAAGGAATGTATTGCATGGTGGAGGAGGTGCGTTGGGAGGGGTCTCTCTGCTCTCAGGGTTCAGATAGAATTGTTGTTGGTTTTAAAGCCCACCTGTTATGGAATGTTCTAATCAGTTTTGGCTTTCTGAGTTTTTGTGGAATTAAAGTGCTGCTGCTGCTAAGGCTGAGGCTGTTTCTGTGTGGGGTTATAGGGATTGATGAACCAAAGTAATGGGAATGAGGGTCAGTCTTTTCGTGGAGTTTTCTTGGGACTGGTGTTGGGAGTGGGGTGGGGGTCTCAGGCCACATGTGGAAGGATATGGTTCCTGCTCCTAAACAGCAGATCTGAGGAAAGGTAAGACACAGGTATGGGCTGAGAGATACAGTAAAAGCAGAATCAGAAGCAAGGAGATGTAGAAGAAAAAAGGGAGGAAGTGTTGTCTTCTCAGTTCCTGAAGTGGACAGGCAGGGACTGGGCAAACTGAATATCTAGGCTCTAGAGAAAGACTGGAAACACTTGCTAGCTCCATTCTTGACCCCATTTCTCACACTCTGCTTGCTGATCAGTGCCCTATGAATGGTCTAGGATAATCTGTGCCAATTTCTAGCCGCCTTCGTTTACAGTCACATGGTAAATTCCAGAAGCTCCCGTTATGGTGAGATTTAGAAACAGATCACAATACAGATCCAGTTACGTTAAATTGTCCTCCTCTAACTCAAGACACTAGGTCTTTGGGCTGAATTTAAACACGTTATTCCTCGAGGTGTGAAAAGTTCCGGAATTGGGAATATTGTTTCACACACCTTCCCTAACAAGAAATTGGCAGTAAATTCTTTAAAAGGAGACTACAACTGTGGCCCGTACGGGGATCGAACCCGCGACCTTGGCGTTATTAGCACCACGCTCTAACCAACTGAGCTAACCGGCCAGCTGACATTAGGTCCTCTCAATATGAATCTATGTAAAACACAAATTACTAATCAGTCCTATCTGTGAGAAAATCTCAAAACGGGTAAGCTTATTTGGGGAAACAGGGAAACAGACTACGAAAACGGAATCACTTATCATTTCGGGAAATAAAAGCGAAGCCAAAATAGTGGCAAGCACAGATTATGCAAATAGGTGCTTGACTGGCAGGTCGCCGTGCCAACATAGAGCGCAAGACTATGCACTTAGCACTTAGCGTTGAGGCGCACAACCGGAAATAGAAAAGGCCGTCTGATGGCAACCGGTAGACTCCCGAAGAGATGTGAAAAACTATATATAAGATAGAAGCCTACGACTCTTTCCTCGAGGTGTAAAAGCAGCCCCTGCCTCCGGAGGCACCGCTGGGATTCGAACCCAGGATCTCCTGTTTACTAGACAGGCGCTTTAACCAACTAAGCCACGGCGCCCCGCGCGTACACCTTCCCGCCTCGTTTCCCTGGCCAGGTCAGTTCCAGGTTAGGTGAATGAATGCCGGGGTACCTTTCTAATTTTCAGTCGTACTGGAAAACAAGGTAGAAGGTGCGAAATCCGCGGCTGTAAACGGGATAGGTTGGAAGGATGACACAGAAATTGAATCCTGGCAAACAGAACGTAAGAACAATTCTTGGGTTATAAAATATAAACAAAGCCGCGGAGGTCGCAGGCCGACGAGGATGGGATTCGAACCCACGCGTGCAGAGCACAATGGATTAGCAGTCCATCGCCTTAACCACTCGGCCACCTCGTCCACAGGAAAACAGCTTAGGATCTCCTCTCTGGGGTCTGGATTCTTCCTTCTCGGAGAAAACGTGAGTTCAACTACGTCGCGTAGGGAGGGTTTCCCGAGGGATCCCGCCCGGCACCGCGAGAACGACTCGCAGGGCTCTGGCTGCCGAGCGATATTCTAGCCTGCGCTAGCACCCCACTCGGCGTTGAGATTTCCCGGGCGTGCGTCACTCCTCAGGAGCCCCGCTATCCGCCCAGATTTACAGTTCCCGGAGCTACAGCAAAAACTATCGCGAGATCTTGGAGCTCCCCCGACGGGGCGGCTCGGGACTTGGAGCCAGGGACCCTCCCCTTCCGGCCCCTACGAAGTCTTTCTTCTCTAATCTGCGGGATGGGACTCCAACAGAGTTGCAAATAAGGAGAATAAATAAAAATTACCCGAGCTCTAGAAAAGCGAACGCTGACCCCGACGTGATTTGAACACGCAACCTTCTGATCTGGAGTCAGACGCGCTACCGTTGCGCCACGAGGTCGGCCGGCCACGGGGGTGGACAGGTCTCCCCATGACGACTGGATGGTGAGCCGGCCGGGTCCGGCGATCGAGGGGCCGAGGGCCTTTGTAGAATTTCTAAAATCCCCCCGTGTGGTGTTTACCCTCTCCCTCCGGCCTTGTGGGACCAGCAGGGCCCGCCACCCGCAGGGCAGCGGCTTTGTGGGCTCCGTGTTCACCGGTGCCCCGACCTCGTTGCCGGCCTCCTGCAGACCGTAAGGCGGCCCTGAGCTGGTTCCCTGGGGGACCCAGAGCTCACAGCCCTTCGGGGACGGACTGGCACCAAAACGTGTGGAAGGACGGAGAATACCAGGCCGAAGGTGATGGAGGCACGTGTCGGGGACAGAGATTAGCTTTTTCAGCCGTGAGTCCCCTCCCGGGCTGCACTTACCAGCCGCCTGCGGAGCCTTCCAGGTAGCTACTCACAGGCCCCAGCTTTGGAGTTTCTGGTTTAAAGATCCAGGGTAGAATCTTGGCATCGGTAACTTTGTCACTTTTGACGATTCTGAGGAATCCCTTACCTACAATGAAATGCAGAGATCTTAAGTGTTTATTTTGGTGAGTTTTGAAGAATTTACAAGGTTCTTTCTTATCTTTTCCGAGTCGATCCGCGCCCCTCTCCTCCCGCTCTCACAGAGGCAACCACTGTTCTGATTTCCGTTGACATAAATATCTGTACCTGTTAAAGCTCCCCAGGTGAGACCAGGCTGGAAACTTATAAAGAGGAATACCAGAAGCTGGAAGAAACGCCCTCCCCGCCCCGCCCCTGCCACCCAAACACACACACACACACATTTGCTCATTTGCTTCTTGAAGGGTGAAAGAAGTTCAAGGGTCCAATACCGCCAAAGAGAGTTATCAGGGACTCAAGACAAGTCAAAGCCCTCCGAGAAGCCTGACCTTAATTGACTGGGCAACATCCTTTAAGAGCCTTCCCTCTTGGTTGTCATGATACTGCTGTCTGCTGGCTCTCTCCTATCTTACCGTCCCCCTCCCTCCAGTCTCTTTTTCTGTCTTTTTTCCCTCGGAGTTCTGTCTTCTCTCTTTATGTTACACAACTTCCCCAGAGTAAAGCCTTCCCTGGAGTCAGCCATCACTTGTGTGCTGAGGGCTCCTGAATCCTGCTCCCACCTCTGGATTCAGTCTAGTGCTTGCTGGACACCTTCACTTGACCCTGTCATCCTTCGGAAACCTCCCACCTCAGGTGGGACTCGAACCCAGTCACACCTCAGGTGAGACTCAAACCCACCATCTGCCAGCTGAAACCATACACCTCCTGTCAGGACTTATGAAGCTGAGGTTCATTAAGTCTCCGCATAGAAGGAATTCAGGGAGAGGCAGAGAGATAGGTAAGAAGTAGATCTGTTGAGAGAGACATGACATGAGTTTGAGTAGGCTCCAGGCATGCTGCAAAGAGTTGGACACAACTGAGCGACTAAACTGAACACACTCTATAAAAAGTGTGGGCCATCTCTGAAAGAGCACTGGGAAATATAAGGTGGCTAGTTTTTATGGTCTGAGTAATTTCAGAGGGTAACAATTGGGAAGATTATTCCAACTACTTAGGGAAGGGGTGAGGATTTCCAGAAATTGGGCCACTGCCCCCCTTTATGGCCTTTTATGGTCTGCCTCAGAAGTGTCATGACGCCTGTGGGTGTGTCCTTTAACATGTTAATATATTACATATATATATTAATATATGTTAATATATAGGATGGGCGTGTAATAAGGTTTAAGAAGTTGAATCTTCTGCCATCTTGGGCCTGAACGGTTCTAAGCATTTTTCTCTTCTATCCAGTTCTCCGTCGCTGCGTCGTTCTTTTAAAGGTTGTGCCCTGTCCCCTTCCCTCTTGTCTCATTCCCAGTCTTCTGCACTCCCAGTTAGAGGCCAAGCTGAGGCTTGGATTCATCTCGACCCTTCCCCCTTCCTCGCTTCCCATTTCTAGTCACCAAGTTCACTCAATTTCATTTCCTTCATAATTCTGTTAGCCCTCATTCCCTATTCCCACTGCCATCTTGCTGGATGACTGTAGTAGACTCCGCCCTAATGTCTCTGTCTCCAGAATAGTCAAAGAGAATCATCTTTTAAAATGCTGACATGATTCCATCATGCTGTGGCTTAAAATCAATACCATTGAAACTGCACGACTCAGATGGGATTCGAATCCAGCCAAAACTGATTGGGACTTGAACTCTTGGGTTGGGACTTGAACCCACTGTCTTCTATTTAAAATTGCTCACCTAGTGTGAAAAACTGATGGGAACATTACAATGGTTGCTTCAGTCTGCCTACTCCTGAACCTGATGCTCAGATTAAACACCAGAAAAAGACAGACAAGCAAATGTGGTGTGCTGCCTGTTAAAAGCCCAAGGCACTAGTCATATACATTTTCAAGACAAAGGATCCTACATCAAAATGCCATACTGGTAATTTACATAAGGTTTACCAAGGTATATAGTCCAAGTAAGCATTTACAAAGTGAGGAACAAGTCACCATGACTCTCGACCCTCTACAGAGTTGGGAAAGGATGCTATTCTTTTAAGTTTTAAGAAGTAACAACAACAACAAAAAGTTACACTGCTAGCATTAGAAGAAAGGGGAAAAAATTGATCTGTATAGTTGAGCAGTCACTCCCATCTGGTTAATATGTAATGCAGATGCACACTGCACTTTAGGGAGGGAGGGACAAGGCCCAAACAAACACACACAGAGAATTTTATGTTCAGTTTTTCTTGTCCTGCCTTTAAATATAAATTTTGTTTTATCACCAGAGTGAGGGAATTCAAGGCTAAGATAGCTGCATTAACAAACTTTGCTACTTCTTTAGTTTGCTACCCCAAGCACAAACCCCTTTAATTCTTCACAAACAATATTTCTTTGTCAAAAAACGACATATAAACAGCCTCCTTTGGTCTCTTCCATGGTCCTTTTTCTGTGAGATTTCCCTGTGTATGAATTAAATTGGATTTTTTTCCTCCTATCAATCTATCTTATGTCAATTTAATTATTAGATCAGCTAAAAGAACTCAAGACAGGGGGGTGGAAACTTCCTCCGCCTGGACAGAACTATTTGGTGATGTCTGGGATTTGCTTCAAAATAATCCAGTGGGACCGGGAGGCAGAATATAACTGAAACAAGGTTGGCCAAGTGTTGGTAATTGCTGAAACAGAATGGTAGGCTTCAAAAGGGGTCATTACCTTTTGAATGAAAAATAATTTATTTTTACATACAATATGTTTGAATATTTCAGACTTAAAAAACGCTTTTCTAAATTTTATTGCCAGTTCAAATGTTGGAACATGTGAGTTCCAGCCGAAGGACCCTTGGTCACTTGCAATACCACGTATAGCCACAAGGTGGCTCCAAAACTCTCTTTGGCGAGTGTGGATCTGGCTTCTCTGAACCAAAGACATGGAAAGGGACAGGACTAAACGCCTGCTGTTTACCCATTCAGAAAGTGAACTGTATCTCCCGGTTCTTACTATCTATAGGTCCCCAGGCAGGAAGGCTGTTATGCGCAGAATGCCCCAAACTTCAAGCTGCTGGATCCCCAAATCTAACAGTCATCCTTGACCCCTTCCTTCTCTCACCCACACACATTCCCATGTTTAGACTTTATCTTCTAAAAGACTCTCTAGATTTCTTCCACTTCACTCCACCTCTTTCACTCCGATACTATTGATCTTGGCTAGAGACCTTATTCAAATTTTGCCAATTTTCCCACTAATGTACTTTATAATAAATTTTGTTTTTCTGATCCAGGATCCATTAGGATCACACATTAAATTTCAAATTTGTCACACCATTTTAAAAAACATTATTTTATTTAAGTGTAGTTGTTTGACAATGTTGTGTTAATTTCTACTGTAAAGCAACGTGATTCAGATATAAAGAATATATATCTTTTCCATTATGACTTTTCATATGACATTGAATATAGTTCCTGGGCTATACAGCAAGATCTTGTTGTTTATCCATTCTTGTTATATCTGTCTTTCATGAACTTGAGGAAACATCTTTTGACTATCTCTTTGACATCTGAAATTTTTCACACACTGGTTTAGAAAAAGGAAATCCATTTAGTACATTGGGGACCTGCAAGAGAGAAAAGCATTTTCTCTCAGTTTTGATATTTCCTAAAATTAACTTTTAAGAACAAATGATCCATTTTCAAAGAAAATTTCCTTGATCACGTTGTTCTAATATTTCCCTTTAAAATTTTTATTTATTACAAATTTTACCGTGCAGATTTATTATTTGTTGATGTGTTTGTCAATCTCTTTGACCCCAGGAAGGTAGAGACTTCTGCCTTGTTCCTCAAGAATATGAGCCCAGCACAGTGCCTGAGACTTATTTGTTGAATGAATGAAGAAATTAAAAAATGCCTCTTGGGCTTGTAGTTTAGACCTGTCTAAGAGGCACTGAGATGAAGAGTAGTAATAAAAGAAGTGTTCACATATTGAGATATAGGGAAGTCATTCTGGCTTAAATATTACACAACTTGAATTTTATCCTAACTAAAATAGCCTGTTTGTGGTCTATCAAACACACGTTGTACATATGCTTTAATTATTTAAAGGACAGGGTACACTGACCAGAAGTAAAAAATGCCCATGTTAAAAATAAAGATTAAATGCCCCTCTTCCTGGGACACCTTCGATGTGATGATAAGAGATGCTTTCCAGGTGCCAAGGCCATGCTGACCTGCTGTGTATTAATCGTCTGGTCCTTAAAAAAGAAAAAAAAAAAAAAAGAATAAATGTAACCCTGACTTGTATAAAGTTCTTTGTTCTTACAAGATGCAAAACTGCACTGAAAACGATGCTTCGCTGGGGCAGTTTCTCAGGAGTAATCTGGGAAAGGAGCTTCCAGGCTACTCCTTAGTTTGGCTCAAATAAACCTCTTTTTTATTCTTATTATGGACTATCCATTATTATTCTTGGGAGGTGACCTGGTTAGGGGGTGGGGCCCTGGAGGTTGTGACTTGACTGTTAGCCATGAATTCTGGCGAGAAGTTGCCATACTGCAGGAATCACCTTTAAGGTCCGAAGGTCCGTGAGGTCCCAATCGTGAGAGATGCTTGTACTATAGCTGGGCAGACTACAGCTGGCCACACCTCTAAGAGATAAGGAAATCGTTGTAGAGTCTGAATTTCCGCCCTCGACTCTTGCCCCCCAGGGACGCGGGGTTTCATTCTCTTCCTCCACTCCCTTTTCTGGTCCCGTAAGTCCACTTCCTTCCCGCAACATGCCTCTCATCCACACCCTAGTTCAGGAGAGGGGCTCTTTTCTGTACTCTGCAAATCCCTCACCAATCTGAGCGAATGGGTGGGGGGAACCAGAATCAAGGAAAGCTCAGGTATACGGTCCGCCAACAACCAGGGGCTCCGGGACAATAAAGGGACATCCACCTCTACAAGTTCGGCCTAGGCCAGGGGGAAGCTACACGGATGCGGAGGATGGAAGAAAAGAGAGTGTCCAGGCCTCGGGCATGTAGGCGCCCTAAGGCCGACGTGGTGGTGACAGTGGTGTCCGGAGGGTCATCCTGGGCAAAATAGCAGGGGCTGGGGGCCAGGCCGCTCCCGGCGTGGGGATACCGGGAGAAGCGAGTGTCCGAGTTTCCGTTCGCTAGTGCTGTGTGGGCAGACTCGGCAATGCGGGACAGAGCCACAACACACTCTCAGGTTGTGCAGACAACTCGTCTGCACGTGGGGAGGAAGGCGGCTCGATTCTCCGTATCCGGTCGGGATCTGCACAGGTGTTGTGGACCCGGACCAACGTTCCCTAGAAGCCCGGCGGTGGCGCGATAATTTGCCGCTCTCGCGAGACTTTCAGAGGTCCCGTCGTAGCCCTCGTTTTTGTCGTTACCAAGGCAACTGAACGGCGCCAGCGTAAGCGGGAAGGCGGCGTACGTCGAATTTTTGTCTGCTAGCTTGGAGACTTGAGGAGTGACCCTCCTTGAGCCTTCAGCCCCAGAGACAAACGGCCTCTGCTCCAGGCGGTACCCCTTCCCCTGAGGACCATGGGCCGGATCTCGGGGCTCGTGCCTTCTCGCTTTCTGACGCTCCTGGCGCATCTGGTGGTCGTCATCACCTTATTCTGGTCCAGGGTAAGACCCATGGCCCGCTTCTCGTCCTCCTTCCAATTTGGGGTGGTCTCAGCCCCAACCCACCCTTTATCCCCCGGGGCCTTACCCGGTGGGGTCCTCCCATACCCCGCCGCCAGAGCCTCTTTCAACTTCTCTTTCTTTCTGCCCTGCTCCCTAGGACAGCAACATCCAGGCCTGCCTGCCTCTCAAATTCACCCCTGAAGAGTATGAGAAGCAGGACATTCAGTGAGCATGTGGGACAGGGTGGGCAGAATTAAGCAGTAGTGGGAGTGAAGGGGTCTTAGATAAAGTCCAGAAGGCCTAAGCCACTTCCTTCTTTTCTGCAGGCTGGTGGCAGCGCTCTCTGTCACCCTGGCCCTCTTTGCAGTGGAGCTGGCTGGTTTCTTCTTAGGAATTTCCATGTTCAACAGCACCCAGAGCCTCATCTGTATCCTTTCTACGTGTACTCCTTTCCTCCTCGGCCCTTGTCCACCATAACGCCCTTCAGCCACTTAACTAGGCCTTTCTGGCACAGTGGTGTTTGCCCTAGCAGGCAAACAGAATCCCTCCTGTGGAGAGATGTTAGGCAATGTGGAAGATTTGATACAATCTCTGATCACTTTTTGAGCTCCTGCTACTCACCAGGCACTGGAGATCTCAAGATGGGAGTACAACACAGGTTTCTATCTTTAGAAAGAGGCAGACACACAGACATCTGTAATTCAGTGTGATGAGCACAGGTGCCATCAGATGTAAAGATACCAAGCACTATGGGAACGCAGAAGAGACATAGGAAGTGAGGAAGATGGGTCAGAGAAGGCTCTCAACACCAGGGTGCTGGAGAGTGATCCCAGCAGTGTATTGTGTCACTGTGAGCATTTCTGTGTGCTTGGAGTAGATTGGGAGTTTGCTACTTACCTGAAGGGTCCAAACTAGATACAGGATGGAGGTAGCTTGGTTTCCCAGCAGTGCAGGCTCAGCTCTGGCCTCTACACATAGCCATCCTAAAACCCAAAAGTCTGGGCTGCTGGCTCTGGCCTTTGCAGTGTGGTAAAGGGAGCAAGAGATGCCTTGCTCACCAGGAGCTGATTGTGAATGCAGATGCCAGGCCCATCACCAGCCTTTTCTGGCTCATCACTACCTGTTGATCCAAAGGCTTTCCTTGACTCTGGTGTATTCCCAAGCCATCGGGGCTCACTGTGGTGCATCTGTGGCCCTATCCTTCTTCATATTTGAGCGTTGGGAGTGCACCACATATTGGTACATTTTTGTCTTTTGCAGGTATGGTAGCACCTAATGTTTGAGGACGGGGAAGGGAGGTTTACTTTAAATCTGAAGATTTGCCTTCCCAGCCCTTTACTCCATGTGTAAGATACCAGATCCACTCAACATTCCTGAGTCTGTTTGAAGTCTTCCACTCCTACACTTCAGGGGGTGGGGGGTGGGATCGCTGGCTTGGGGATCTAGGTATTTTTATTAGAAGAAACTCTGAACCCATCACCTACCTTCCTCAGTGCCCTCCCAGCTATCACCGAAATAACATTATTCATCAGCGTCTTCGGGCTGAAAAAGAAACCTTTCTGATACCTTCGTGACTGGAAGTAGGGATGAAGGCTGAAGGAGCGAAGGACCACTCACCCTTCCTGGAAGAGGAAGGCTTCAGCCCTCCTTCTAACACTGCATTTGGTGAAGGATGTCAGTGTTAGGGTAATTATCTCTCGAGTCTGGGACTATCTGCTTTTTGTTTACAGTTCTTTGTAATAAAATATATTTTAGGATAAGGTCAAAACTTACAGGAATTCCTAGAGGCATTCCCTGGCTGGCCAGTGGTTAGGACCCCATGCCTCCACTGCAGCAGTTACGGGTTCAGTCCCTGCTGGAGCAACCAAGATCCTGAATGCTAGGCAGCGTGGCCAAAAGAAAAAAAAAAAAAAAAATCAAGACAAAAATTTCAGGAGAAAATTGGGGTGGCCAAACTACTGTAGAAACAGAAGGCTGTTTTCCTGCCTTGCACTGTAATATACTAAATGTCGCTTCTATTTTAGTTATTACGGTAGATTTCTGGCGGAAGGGAGTGGGCGGGGATATGTAAATAAAGTGATGCTTAAGGGTAGTACCTCGAGCTCTTTGAGTGAGTGAAGCATTCTGGGAGGGATTAGCGTTTGCTCTTTTGACAGCCAAATGGGAAAATATATTTTAAAACATCTGCAGATGAATTGAACAATAGAAGTGGAAGAACCTGGATAGCGACAGGTTGCTCGGGCTAACCTGTCTTTTACTCACCCTCCCTGATAGCGGAGTCTTTTCCCCCGAGTACGGAATATTGCAGGCTTATCGGTATCGTCAGGTAGGATAATCCTTACCTGTTCCTCCTTTTGGAGGGCAGAATAGAACATGATGATTGGAGCTCGCATGATTCGTGATTAACGGCTCTGCGTAATCAGGACTTGCAACACCCTGATTGCTCCTATCTGATTCTTCCTGACGATCAGTGGTATTAATGTATTATACGATTAGATTTAAGTTTTTGTTGCTGTCTTGTTAGTTGTATTTAAAGTAGTGTAGTGTTGATACTTTTCACTTTCTCCATTGGAGGAAGATTTGGCAACCTAGTCCAGTGTGCATCCCAGAGATGGAGAACGCTGGTGGGCTTCCGTCTATGGGGTCACCCAGGGTCGGACACGACTGAAGCGATTTAGCAGTGTTGGTTCTTATGGCGTCTACAATGTTTGGGTGTTTGCTTTTTTTTTTCTCTAAGGGTGTTTGTTTTGGGTATGTTTGTGTAGTGTAGGGTTTTGTAAGTTGTGTTCTGGTTTTGTTTTTTTTTTTTTTTTAACTCTTATGATATTTAGTTTGGTGGTTGACTTGTTAAAGTCAGTTAGTCGTCTCTGAATGGAATTCTCCAGGCTTGCGTCTTGGAGTGGATAGCTGTTTTCTTTTTTTCTCGGGTTTTTTTCCCAACGCCAGGGATCCAAGCCACGTTGCATGAGTCTCAATTTGCTGGTTAGTTTTTGTTTGTTTTCTCCTTAATTTTATGAAGTTTTACTCAAGGAAACGTTCTGTGTACCTCCGATTTTCCAACAAGTGGTTCCTTTAATGTCTGTCGTATTTGGTGTCATGAATGAATGCGTGTCAAAACTTCTATCTCACCATGCCAGGAAGGGTCACGTGCTAAAGGGTACACTTCCCTGGTACTTGGGGCCCCCAGCCCAGAAACATGGCAAAGGTCACCTGTTTACTCAGTAGTCTAATTAGAACACCCACCCTAGTTTCTGTCTGGTAGCCCATGGCTAGAACATGTTCAAAAGAAAGTTATTGAAACACACTGTTTGGCATTAGAGAAGAGTCTAAAGTTCTACCTTGTGTCACAGGGTAAATGTTCTTACAGGGACACAGTTTTTTAGGATAGATTCAGTGTAGAGGTTTTTGTTTTTGTTTTTAGTTCTACAACTTTATTGCTACCAACCCATCTCCCTCCACCCTCATGTCATGTAATGCTCAGTCATGTAATCCCATGGACTTCAGCCCGCCAGACTCCTCTGTCCATGGACTTTTCCAGGCAAGAATACTGGAGTGGGTTGCCATTTCCTTCTCCATAGAGGTTTTAATCCTATAAATGGTGGAGCCCAGGCCATTCTAAATAAGCAAAAGTCATCAAAGGATATCTTTTCTGGTGGAGCCTCCTCAAGTGATGCTTTCTGTTTGCTCGCAGCCCTTCCTCGTTGAGTATTCACTCAGTGAACACTTATTCAGCACTCACTATACACTATAGTGAGTACTGAGGGAGTAGATATGAATGTGAACTATACTAGGCCTGGGCCATCACAGATATTATGGCTCAGGGAAACAAAGAACAATCTCTGGTACTCCCAGAGTACTTTAATAACAAATTGTGATAAATGCTTCAAACTCGACTTGCAGATGCTATGGAGTAGGGATAACCTGCCCCAGGTGGCAGGAGTGTTGCTCCTAGAGGAGCAGTTTGAGTGAAGCCCTGGAGTGTGGCTGAAGCAGAGAGTTAGAGGAGCAGATTGTCCAGGAGGCAAGAAAGGAGGATATTGCCGGTCATGGTTACTGGCTTGACCAGGAAACTCATATCCCCGACAAGCCTGACTTTCACCACACCCAGTGGTGCGCTTACTGATTTGTGAAAGCTGTTTGTTTTTCCAGAAGCATTATGGACTGATTATTAAAAACAGCAATATCAAAAATTGAATATGTAACCTTGCAATTAAATGAACAATATTTCTAAAACAGAGGGGGATTTTCCTGGAGGTCCAATGGTTAAGACCTAAAACAAACAAACCAACCAGAAAACCCGAAACCAGAGTAAGAAATACTCATCACTTCCTGGTTATTTTATAAATTTATTATTATATGGTTTTGAGGTTGTTTGCATTTATAGTATCTGTATGGTGGGAATAGGATAAAATGATGTACAGCTTTGTATCTCTTTCCAGTTTATTTAGTGACATTAAGTTAGTAATTTGAAACTGGCCTAAGTGGGAGTATTTATACCACAGAATTGGCAAATGCTACATATCAGGCCTTGTTGATTGTCTAGATTTTGAAAAGTGATGGAGAAAATGTTAAATAACTCAGGTTAAGTCTTTAAGTGTCATGTCTGTAACTGTTATACTATAAATCACACACACACACACACACACACACACACACAAAACGATGAAGTATTCCCCCAGGATTTGAAAACTTTTCAGCAAAGAATCACTCAAGTCATTGAGGAACCTGTGAAGTTTCAACATATCTTCAGTGTTTCATTTTTATCTTAGTCAAAAATATAAATAAAAATGTCAACCAATGTTTATGTTAGAACTACCCTTGTATTAATACTTATGATATAATTCCATTTATGAAATCATGGATACAAGAGTAGAATTTACAATAAAGAATATTGTATATTTTATTATTTGCAGATTCTGTTACACATCCTTTATATCAGCAAAATTTATAATAAACTTTATGTACACATTTGAATGCATACTTTTCTTGGAGAGTGGGTTGTTAAACATTTATCAGCACTTTCTTGCTCCTCCAATACTAAGAAATTGTTCATCACCAGTGAGTTCGTTGTTCCTAAATCCAGAGGTTCTTTCCAGACTTTGGCTCGACTTCTTTTCCATATGTTGACCATTCCCCTCATTTGAAAGTTGTTCTCCCTTCCTTTCTGAAAATTAGTTCCACTGGCTTACCTCCAACTATTCTGGCTGCTCCTTCTTAGACTCATCTAATGAATACTGACTGAAAACTCACAGCTGACCAGCCACTGAGGACACATTATAGGGTTGCCTCCTCCCTTTCCCCTGTGAGTGTTGGTGGTCACTCCTCCTTGGGGACGTCATCCACCTCTTGTCTTCAAGCATCACCTAGATGGTGCTGGTTTACCAGGCCTTGGCTCCGTTCTGTGAGCCCTAGCTGGGGGCAGAGACTGGAAGTGAGCTATGGAGCGGTTTAAAGTGTACCTGCTCTCCTCTAAGGTTATGTGATGGCCAGTAAGTCACTTAACCTCTCTGTGCCTCTATTTCTTCATCCACTTCAACTATATATCTTAGTCAACACCAGACGCTTTGCCAATTAGCATCAAAAATAGCTTTTCATTTTATTGTGAAATTAGTGGCTTGTTAATCAGCATAAGCCAAACATGAAGAAACAAATACTGCTGGATTCTACTTACATGAGGTTCCAAGAGTTGGCTCAAATTCATAGGGCTGGACGGAGAAGGCAATGGCACCCCACTCCAGTACTCTTGCCGGGAGAATCCCATGGACGGAGGAGCCTGGTAGGCTGCGGTCCATGGGGTCGCTAAGAGTCCGACATGACTGAGTGACTTCACTGTCACTTTTCACTTTCATGCATTGGAGAAGGAAATGGCAACCCACTCCAGTGTTCTTGCCTGGAGAACAGCATAGGGATGGAATGTAACAGAATGGTGCTTGCCAAGGTGGTGTTGGGTGGGCGGGGGAGGGAGGTGAGGAAAATGAGTTGTTTAGTGAGTAGTGTTTCAGTTTCACAAAGTGATAAGTGTTCTGGAGATTGGTTGTATGATGAGATGAATATACTAACACTACTGAGGCTAATAGAGTTTTGCCAAGAGAATGCACTGATCATAGCAAACACCCTCTTCCAACAACACAAGAGAAGACTCTACACATGGACATCACCAGATGGTCAACACCGAAATCAGATTGATTATATGCTGTGCAGCCAAAGATAGAGAAGCTCTATACAGTCAGCCAAAACAAGACCAGGAGCTGACTGTGGCTCAGATCATGAACTCCTTATTGCCAAATTCAGACTTAAATTGAAGAAACTTGGGAAAACCACTAGACCATTCAGGTATGACCTAAATCAAATCCCTTATGATTATACAGTAGAAGTAAGAAATAGATTTAAGGGGCTAGATCTGATAGCGCGCCTGATGAACTATGGATGAAGGTTCGGGACATTGTACAGGAGACAGGGATCAAGACCATCCCCATGGAAAAGAAATGTAAAAAAGCAAAATATCTGTCTGAGGAGGTCTTACAAATAGCTGTGGAAAGAGAAGTGAAAAGCAAAGGAGAAAA